AAAACGCCATACATACAAAATAACTTTGTTTAAAGATTTCTTTGTTCCCTTTAAAATGGGGAAACTCTTGAGACGTTCATACTTGCTCACGGTGTGATTTCTCCCAGTTTTTACACATTCACCGCGCCGTGGCGAAGCGACTGTATGAGTCCGACGCCGAGCTTTTGGAAATGTGTGATGTTCATGTCGCTCTCGCAGCCCGTAAACCAGCACTTTGTTGTGGATGGACAAACCGGTAATTCCAGTTTTCTTACGGAAAATTACAAATGTGCAGAAACTGAAATACACTTCTGACTAGGTACGGTTTCAGGTTTTTTTGTGTGTGTGTGTTTTTTTGTTTTTTTTACACAACAAAAAAGTCACGGAAAGGGGGAGAGCAGCTTTGATTTGACCCACTTTCCCGGCATTCCCTTCGATTCAAAAACAGACTTGTTTCCTCTCTGGTGCAGACGACCCTCGCTCAGTCCACGCTGGCCAGTGTGTCAGCAGGTGTCTTTTTGAGTGTGTCTCCGGATCACATCTGGTCTGGGCTGCAGAGGGCCGCAGAGTGACCGGCCTTGCGTCGGGTCCCCTGAACTGGGCCATTGGCGGAAAGAGGGGCGGGGTTGTTTCAGCAGTCCTGGTTCACATGAGTTGCGGCTGCTGCATAGTGTCCTGGTGTGCTGTGGGATACCATGAGGTGTAACTGGGAATATACGAGGTCGGTGTGGATGTTTTGACGCTGGCTGTTGAGTTCCAGACGGGCGCCACGGATGGAGATCCGGTGGACAGCGCGTTTGCCAAAGCGTTCGCGTCTATTGTTCCTCCGCCTTGTTTCATCAGTTTCTTAAACTTGGAGCGTTTATTCTGAAACCAGATCTTCACCTAGAAATAAAGGCAAGGCAAGTCAGAGAGAGCGACAACATCTCGAATCGTTTTACCCATGACTTTAATTCTCTTTAAATAAAGGAACGTCATCGTGAACTTTGACGTTTCCAAATACTTCCCCCAAACAGATGCAACCCTTGATTACAGGCCCGTGTTGTATAGAGATTTCAAAAAGAACACGCTAAGACGATATAAATAAAACATTTAAGAATGAATCGTTGCGTAAACATGGCAGGTTTGTCGACTCGTTTATAAAATCTAATTCCTTTACGGACAACGCGTAAAAGCCGAGCACATGCCTGTGTCTGCGTGAGCCCCAGGGACGCGGCGAGCTCGGCTCTCTCCGGCAGAGCCAGATACTGCGTTTGCTGGAACCTCCTGTTCAGAGCCTGCAGCTGGAGGCTGGAGTAGATGGTCCGGGGTTTGCGGATCTTTTTGCCTTTCCCGTTGAAACGAACCTCT